CGCCGTGAGCCTGCCCGTGCGCGAGCATGCGGGTTGTGCGTGCGCGTGAGCGCGTGTGCAGTCCAGTGTTTCCGTGAGTGTACGCGTATGTGAACGTGCGTGTGTGAACGAGGACATCTAGGGGCGTGCAGGTGAGCGGCACATGTGTGTTTATGGGATGGGTGCGAGTGCGCATGCGTGAGCGAGTGTCGGGATATGTGGGTGTGAGCACGTGGGTGCTCTGTGTCGTGTGCATGTGTGTTCGCGTGTGTCTGTGAGGGTGTGCGTGTGTGCGTGTGAATGCGAGGCAGTGTGTGCTCCCGGGGTGTGTGTGCTCCTGGGAGCGTGTGGACCTGTGTGCGCACGGGGGCTCTCTGTGCCGACATGGGTATGGGGCTGTGTCTGCGAGTGTGTGGGTGTGTGTATGCGCGTGTGGACGTGCGTCTGCATGAGTGTGTGGACGCGTGTGGGGATGAGTGTGGCCCCCGTGGCCCATGCCCTCATCTCCCTGGGCAGTGTCCCCCCCTGGGAGGAGGCCAGCGGGGGCAGAGCACCCGGGGTGACCCTGCGCCAGGACTCTCCTCACGGCCGTGTGGTCCCCGCGTGGGAAGGTCTCCTGTGGCGAGCGGGCTCGCAGCCCAGGCGTCGGAGGGTGTGATTGTGTAACCCGGGCTGTGGGTGAGGGGCTGTGCCCGGTGGTGGTGGGGAGAGGGCAGCATGGAGCAGGCAGGGAGGAGCTGCCCAGACTGGCACAGCTGTGACCCAAATAGCTCAGAACACCGCACACAGCCCACCTCCGCTTTTCTGGGGACCCCCCACTCTCCAACCCCAGCCCCCCTGTCAGGAGCAGCCCGGATAGACCCCACAGCAGAGCCCAGGCGCCTCCCTGGGCTCCCCGGACTCCCAGCGCCCCCACCGCAGCTCAGCCAAGCCTTTCCCTCCTTAGTCTCAAAGTCAAGGGCTGAATAAAACTGGGTCGGGGACAGCTCTTTCCCCTCCCTGAGCTGCCCAGGCTGGGCCCCCTCCCCGGGGACTGTGATTTTGCTCGTTCCCACCCCGGCCCCACCCTCGGCGGTCCTAGCCTCTGCCTCCCAGACCTCACCCCACGGCCCTGCCGGCCACTCCGTCCTGGGACAGGCTGCAAAGCCGCGGCACCTCCGCCTGGTCCCCAGCCCCAGCCCCAGCCCCTCACCCTCCTTCTCCATTTCGGGTGTCAGGCGAGTCCCCGGCCAGGGCAGCCCTGTGCCCTCCCTGTCCACCATTACCAAGGTCCTCCCTCGCCCTCCAGGTGCCACAGAACTGGGGCACATTATGGGTCTGCGCGTGCACGAGGTAAGGGGTCGCCTTGCGGACGCGAGAGGGTCCCCCCATGACCCGGGAGGCAAGCTTCCCAGGCAGCTCCTCGACGCGAGTCCACGGGGCGCCTGTCGCCTCCCTCTTCTGAGCCTCAGGGGTCCAACCCCTGTCCTCCCTCCCCGAAGGAGCTAGGGTCTGGCCCCTCAGAGCCCGTCCCAGGGGAACCTCCCGGCACGGGGCCCCACACTCCTCCTCCAGAACCCCAAAGTCCGGCCCAGCCCTCAGCCCTGGAGAATACAGGCGTCTCCCCAGCCCCCGTCTCTGTCCGACCCAGGGGCTCGCTGCCCCTCTCGCCCGGGCCGCCCCGGGCCAGCGCCCACCTGCTGGTATTCCTGCTCTCGGGGCGCGAAGCCGCTGGGCACCGGGCGGAGCTGGAAGTCGGCGCGGGGCAGCTGGTGAAGGAGGTGCACCCACGCCGAGGGTCGGTAGCCCGGGGGCGCCCCCATGGCCCGCGGGGGAGGGCGCGCAGCCCGTGACGCGCCTCCCCCAGGCCGCAGGTGCTGGTGCTGCTGAGCCTGGACGCGGAGCAGCGCGTGAAGCACCCGCGCCTGCTGTCCTTCACGTCGCAGC